TCTATCAATTTCTTTAAACAATTGTATATTATGTTGTAATGTATTAAATTTGTTCAAAACCTATTCGAATGGTGTATTTTTAGCATCCTTTATAATTTAAAATATAAGTTTTCCTGTATTAACTCAATAATGATTATAAATTTAAAAAAAAAACAAACTAGAATTGCACAACAGACAGCCCATCGTGCACGAATGATTTCAATCGTTATAAGATACCCCGGCTGATCATTGGAACAGACCATATCTCCCTTAAATCATACTTTGTAATTTTCTTGAGAAAACTACACGTTATTAATATTTTCTAGCATTGTAATTATTTGTAAGTTTATTTACTAACATATTATGGTAGTAAATAAGTTTCCGTTTAGTTATTGGACACAATATCAAGTTGATGATTGGTGTATGAGGAGGGTTCTAATAACTAATTCTTCTTCGGCGTCGGATATTGCAAGGTGGTCTACGGATAATCCGATCATCCCCTAACACAATAAGCTCTCATTTGATGTATATTTTCTGGACGTTGATCCAACTTCTTGTTATCACTTGTGTTATACTTATATAGCGAACCAAACATAGTGTTAGCTGTAAGATATTTTCAGAATATGTTATATTTATAAAATACACCTGTCAATTAAACAGAAAAAAAAAATGGATTTTTTTTACACAGTTTTGTTAGTGGTGGAAATTTTCTTATCGCGTCATTTCCTGATTTGAACGTGAAATCAACTCGAATATTTTCAGTGCTCGAAACACGTCCTGATGATGACCCACGTTTGGGTTGAAACGTCAGCACGAATAAAGTCTTTATAATGACTGCGTCCAGAATATTCATCACCCTTTAATTTGTTTCTATTTTGTAATTGTTTCAGAACGACGATATTACTTTTTTTTATTATTAGATTTTTTTTATTTTATTTTTTGTTATGATAGTTTTAAGAAATTATTTCTCGATTTTTTACCGAATAGTCCTGTCCAGTTTGTTTAGAAAATAAATCCCATATTTTGAACATCTAAAAAAAAAAAAATAATAATAATAATTGTAATTTTTTATGTTATTGTTATTTACGTGTAAATTTCACCTTAATGAATAATTTGAGCTGACAACTCCGATCATCAAATATATTACATTCACACAACAAGAAGGTAATAAAGTCATTTATCTTTGAACCTGAATTACTCTCGGAAGTATTATATCATTATTATTATTAATAATCCGCGCAATTATTCATAATTTATTGGCTTAAGTTATTATTTTTTTATAATTATTTTTGAAAATTTAAATATCACAACACATGTAGGGTAAATGTACAAGTAATAGAAAGTTTTCTACTCATTAACAGATTATCAGCTCTATATGCCCAAAACAGAGTTCTAATATGAGTAGATTTGGAGTTAAAACACTTTGAAGAGTGATATCTACTTGAACTGATACCATGCCATAATAGCTGGTAGTTGATTATATTTAACGGAACAAGGCTGGAAGTTTGTTTCAGGGATGTTTCCTTATCACTTGTCTTTAGGAGTAAGTTTGACATTTTGTGATTCATTCGTCTTTAGTTTGGCCATATCTTAGTTTAAAACTGGGCAGAATTTATTTGGGTTTTTAAATTTTTAAAAAAACATGTAAATTCCAAAATCCGAGTGTTCATTACGCTGTTAAAATTTCCTAAGTTTTTCAAGAATAATTAATTGATTGATTGTATAGATAGTATAAATTTGTTTAAAGACTAAATTTGTTGTCAATTGATGAACCTATTTGCAAAGATTAAGCAAAAAAAAAAATAATAGTCCATGGTACAGACCCCTTTTTATCAAATTATTAAAATCCACCTTAAACTTCATGAATAGCTTCATCTCATCGTAACATACAATTTGTTTCATTTACGAAAATTCTCGGAATTGGGGTCTTTTCATTCTGCAGATCTGCAAACTTTTTCTATTTAATTAAATACTAAAAACTGATAAATACCCATTTGCTTTCCGCTTAAATTGTAAGATAATATAATCACATCAATAAAAAAAAAGTGGCTTACAAAAATATTGAATCGCTTGGCCTATACAACCTCGTTATTTTGACATGTTGGGGATAGAGTTTTGGATAGAGTCACGCCAAAAGTCCCAAATATTTTTCTAGGCCATTTTTTTTTCTGACTCTATGATGATATTATCTTAAGATTCAAGTAGATACCAAATGGGTATTTACGAGTTTTTATTACCTAATTAAATAGAGAAAGTTTGCCGGTCTCATGATTGAAAACAAGCCAATTCTAGGAATTTTCGTAAATAAAGAAATTGTAGGTTACGATGAGATAAAGCTATTTACGAAGTTTCAGGCGGTTGTTCATAATTTGATGAAACGGGGTCTGTACCGCGGAATATAAAGCTTTAGTTTACATTAATGTTAAAAATTTTTCTTAATGTGTCTATTATCGGTATATCTTATCTGTTTTGTGATTTTTCTACCGACCAGGCAAATGTAGGAATCTCATGAAAGTTTCTTCCTTTACGCTCTCACACAATATTATGAAATACTTTCCCGTGTGAAAATATGAACCAAGGTCATTTTTACCTTTTCTCTTGTTAGCACATCATCCAACATAAAATAATAGGTATGAATTATTCTTACGTTTTATCTACGTGATACTTATCAGATCAGAATATTTCCTGAAGAACCCGTAGGACAAACAAATCAATTCTTCATTTTTAATTTTTTTTTTTAATATTCACTATTGTAGTTGTAGCTTTAAATTCATTGTAAATTCCATTTTATAAATTCTTCCTTGCTTTTTTATGATTGAAAAAATTCTTCAAGGCTAGAACGGACAAGATACAAAAAGATTGAAAATTGTGGAACTTACATAAATACTTTTACCTATTTGCGTATTTATAACCGCCATCCCGGATCATCTCCTTCCTTTATAATGCAAAGGTCAACTATTAAATATCCAACTTTGCACTTTCAGTGTTCTGTTCTTTGCTTTCCTCTTGTCTCCTGGTTTGAATCTATTCATTCCGAAAATTCATAACCCCATCCAAATACCCTCTCAAAAATATGGTGCAACTAGCGCCACGAAATCCCCTTGTTTATGGGTACCGCTTAGTGTTGCCCAAATGCGAGACCGAGGCGAGTCTTGGTCTTGCAAACTCAATCTTGGTCTAGGTCTTGGTCTTGCACAAGACTTTCGTAACAATCTTGCTGTTAACTATTAGCTTATTACTAGAGACATATTACTGTATTGTTTTAGATATAAGAAACCTAACTGAGTCTAAATGAAAAATTAGTAGAGTTAAATTTAAAAGTATATTGGTTACACCAATACTTTACATATAGTAACTAAAATTGTCAAGTACTAGTAACTATTTTGTCTCAATTTTGATTCAAAAAATCGATTTTTTTTTACCAGTCCGGGTTTCGGTCTTGCAACAGTTAGGCGGCGCTGGTCTTGGTCTAGCAAAGTGCAAGACAAAGACAGATTTTGGGCAACACTAGTACCGCTGCTCTCAAAAATGGTAACTTGTATTATTAGCAACTCACAGATCATTTTATTTTACCATTATGTTGCTATACATCTTTCCTTCCTTCCGCTCCATTTATTTGTGTAGAGTAGCGGCTGGGGATCCCTAATTGGGAGGCTAATTAGTTTTAGTCTGTTTAATTGTGAAAACGGGTGCACTTAGAGATAATTTCCCTTGTTTAATTATAATCTATTCCCGTCGAAACGAGGGATCAATTTTTTAATAATTCGCCATGCTTTCCTGGATATGGAAGGTATCCCGCTCAAATTGCTGTTTCAAAATAAATTGCTTTTTGTGAAATTGGTTTCCAATCATAATTATATGCAACGAGCGACCCATGCGTTTTATCTTAGTGGATATGTATAAATAAGTTTATAACTAGAAAAAAGAGTTCCTACAGACAAAGAAAATATATGAAATATTTTGTCAAATTATATTTAATTCATCAGAAAATGTGGAAGTTTCTCAAAAATGTACCATAATATACTCTAGGTGGGGAATAGAGGGAAAAATGTCAGTACTCAGCAGACGCAAAATTTGATGCTCTCTACAACTTCGATTTTATGGGTTTTTCCTCTTAAGGAACTCATTTCCAAGTTACAGGGCCATTTATAGTATTGTCTGAGTTTTTAACAAATTTGGTAAAAATAAGCGTTGGTTGACCGTGGTTTCATACCTTACCGCGTAACAGAATTTTAAAGTTTATGTACTCGTTTGATGCAAAATTTAAAGTTCTTTAATTTATTAAAGAATATATTTTTCGCTTTGATGCATCGTTTAGGCGTTTGTGGTGAAAAAACTAAGAAATATCGAAAAAATCTGACTTTTTTGGCTGGTAAAAGTTTTTCCTTTGTGGCCCGCGTTAGAAATTTTGTTCTTTATCTATCTAAACCCATATATACAAGTTAAAAAAATAAAAACTTTTCTCACATTTTTCGCAATGGATTTCCCGTTTCGATTCTCAAATTATTGGCCGAATATTCTTTAAATCAGCCGCCATTTTTGAAAGCAGCGGCTCTGGAACGGCAGACAAGATTCTTTTTACTCAGAATAACATACACTTTCGTAATTTACAATCAAACCTTCGCCTGCGATCAGGTCGATTTTAGGGTCCTGGCTCCAGGGCTATTATATTCTGTATATTTTGTAGTCCTGATGAAGACTTACAGTTCCCAAAATCTATAACCTCTGCTATAAATTTATTGATCTACAATTTTAGTATTATTCCATCATTAGATAACCGGAAACACCAAAAAAAAAAAAAAAAAAAAAAAAAAAAAATTCGCTCAATGAAACTACCTAATTCAACAAGTGTAAATTTAATGGCTAATGGACACCACACAAGATGATAACACCGTTGATCATTTCTATTCCTGTTATTTTATATTATTCAGTTTTCTTATATTATCTATTATGTATTGATTAAGAATGATCTATATTAAGATGGTTGACGAATTACTATAACATAGACTGGGTATGATTAGGTGGAGGAGAGATGGGCCCCCTGTACGGGAGGTTCGTGGGGCAGGACCACCAAGTGGAGGGCTCGGAGGAGATGGAAGCCATGCAAGCGAGGATACCCACCCACTTCAGGGACCCTTCGACGGCACCGCTCCGCAAGCTCTCTGTCGATCTCATCAAGACCTACAAGCACATAAATGAGGTATGTATAGATTGTCTTATAATAGCATAGCGAGGGAAAGTAGTTGTTTGGTATGGTAAGAGTCCCTTAATTGCTACTTTAGGGTGGCGACTGTGTTACGGTCTTCAATTAAAAATTGTTTCCACAACAAAACCGGATGCTCATTGGAGATGGTAGGGTTCGCAAAAAAAAAATAAAATAAAATAAAGAGTCAATTAAATATTACTAACTATCTAACACGCTATTTGATTGGTTGAATTTGGTAAATGGCAAGAAAACCATAAAAATAAATAAATTTAATTTAAAAAAAAAATATCTGGTGTGCCCACTCACACGACTTTCCTACCTATTTCAGAAAAGTTTTTATATCTTTACATATGTTCATGAAGAGACAAAAAAGAATTGACTTAGATACATTTCTCTGAAGATTGATCAAACATAAGATTTGAGTAAGATTTATTTGATAAACTAAAGCAATGTAAAACGGCTGTAGGTAGATCAGTGTAAAAATTTCAATACTTCGTAATATTGCTGACCAAAAACTTTTTGTATTAATATTGTCAAACAATAATTTCTATTAAAAGTAGAGGAAATAGTGAAGATTGTATGATGCGGGCAACAGATTTTCTTACTTTCATGTAGCCATCTTTATTCTCTCATTCATCCATTTCTGACACCAGGATATGAAACCGTAATCTTACATTGAAAATTGAATAGCTATAACTTCGTTATTAGTTGCCCAAAATAAACGATTTTCATATGGCTTTGTAGGGAATTTCATTACCTTTCAAAACCCTACAAAATAAAAAAAAGAAGCAACAAAATCGGTTCAGTAGTTCCGAGAAAATCTTGGCACAGACAGACAGACCAATGGCTAAAAATGTGTTTTTCGTACTCAGGGGGCTGTGAAACGTATAGATCCGTCGAAAACCGCATGTCAGAAATTTGACCCGATTGCAATACTTTCCTTACCTAGTATAGGTAGGAATGTAAAAAAGATTTGGACGCGGAGTGACGCACTCTGAACCTATAGGCTTAAAAACATATGTTAATTAACATCATAACCTATCGAACCTTCTTACTTGGTTAATAATGACTTCCCCTAATCCCTCGAATAGGGTTTTACAATTCCTTATTAAACCTAAAAAGACAAAAAACAATATAGTTCATACATAAAAGGTGAAAACAACCTGAAGATAAAGAAGAAAATGAAACTAGCTATTATTAATACTGATGATGAATTTACTTATTTCTATTGATTTATATAACTGTTAAAGGAAATGAAAATTATGGACAAGAAATTAGATTTATAAGAATATACAATTAACTTTAATTATTAAAGAAAAGAATATAAGTTTATTATAGAACTAAACATTAATCTACAACTATACTATATACCAATTACAAATATTTGAAGAAGAAAAAATAGATTGGAGATAAAAACTTATATATCTCCAACTGGGTTTAATATATACAAAATCTCAATGCCGAACTTTGTCCAATTGGTACATTGAGTTATCTGAGGAAGCGGGAGCTTATTCTACTAGCGTCGTCAGTGTCTCTCCAGTCTATCTCCTCTAGCTGTGAAAATGTTCATTCACCAACTTGTAAAATTAAGTGGCGCTCGTCGCTAATAATCACTTTCATGGAGAGGAAAAGAAAAATCTTGTGTACACCATAAAACTAAATTATTTCACACACAAAAATCCTTTTCTCTCTCATATGTTGGCTGTTATACTGACTTAAAATTAATATTTACAACTAATACTTAAAACTAATTTATTTTTAGCTAACCCTCTTCGAGGTAAAACTAACAATTCTTTCACTAATTTTTCGTCACAACTGTTCTGGAAAAATGGGAAAAGTCAGAGAGAAAATATTGAAATCAGGGATATTTTTTTATTATGTAAATATCTTTTTCAAATCGGAAATAATTTATTTACAGTGGAAACGACCTTGAAGGAGTAAAGTTTTTTGTTTTAAATTATCGAAGTCTCTATATCCATCCACCTTTGACCGTAAATAACGACACTGGTCATTATATTAAAATCAGCTAAGAGTAATCAAAAAATTTAAGCAAAATAGACTTAAAACAGTGCTTTATAGAAAAGAAAAACATATCAATACTATTTGCAATATATACATCGATGGACATATTTATTTATTTTTATATAGTAATGAACTTCTTAACGGTGATTCTGTCTATAGATAAACTTCCATTAAAACATTTTTTTATCTTAAAATGTAGAGCCTGGTCGAGCATCATCAAATAAATTGGGGGTTGAATATGTCAGCGTCATGATGGTTCTCATAAACTGGCGGTTAAACCTTTGAATTCCATTCGTTGCTTAACCTAAAAAGAACGCTGGCAGCTTCACAGCTAATTTTTTTATAACAGTGTTGCCAGTAGCAGAATCTTTGTATCTATCCTTGCAAAATATTAGTTAAGGATTCATCAAATGGTATACAATATATATATTGTGCTAAGCTGAATGGTCATTTCTCTTCCGCCGTAAGACCTCATGCAGTCCAATAAAGTTTTAAAAGGCTATAGATAATGGCCCACATTGTCGGTATATTGACGTGCTTCTATTAATTATTTATTTAATAAAGGCTAACAACTTTATAGAAGCTGGATGCTCTCTAGAGGGTCTCCCGACCCCAGGATCAATTGCGGAATCAAGGAACCCCACTAAAAATAAATAGGAGGTGATTGAAAATGAGAGTGTGTGCGCAATAAAAAATCCTGTATTGCTCGGGAAAGAAATGGTCATTGTGTAATTTTGTTAACAAGATTCTATCGATGGTAACTCCGGAAACGTTGGCGGAGTGGCCGAATGGGCTACAGCCTGTGCACATCGCCGTTGCCCGACAACCTGACATATGAATCAAAGATAAAAAAATAGTCACGAGTTCGCGTCCCGGTGCCGGGGGAGTCTTTTAAATCCCCGCCCACATCCCCTGGTCCGAGAAAACCTCGTATAGCCTTAAAGGCGAGGAGGGGGAGGAGCCAAAAAAAACAACAACTCCGGAACAAAAAATTTGTAAACTATATTTGATTCTTCTGCGAAACAACGAAGCTGTGACTGTTTGTGTATCAATATTCAACCAAGCAAAGTTTATGCATTATTCCTTTCTAAACTTAAAAATTATTTTATTACAATATAATAAATAAATTTAATGTTTATACACTCCTCGAATGCTGAGTATTTTTTGTTAATATTTTGTAAAAATAGTGGTTCTGTGATAAAAAAAAAGTTTTACAAATTATCCACTGTTTTTAAGTATTTTTAAATGATAATTTTAATTATCAATATTATAAAATTGTTTATTTCGTTTGTTAAACAAGAAAATTATTGTTTAAACGTTGTAGTAATATATTAACTGTTTTCAATTTTAATATATTGCCTTGATCGTAATGGTTGGGTGTGCCATAAAATTAAACATTAAGTAAATTTATTACTGTTTTAATGCATGATACACATTAAATTTAGTGTTTCATTTTTTTGATCCCTACTCGAACTCGCCTTAAAATTTTAACTTCGATTTTTACATACTCTTTACTTACTTCATACCTCTTTATAAGCACTTTGTTTTTTAACATTAATTTAGTAGTTATGAAAGGTGAGACCTATGTTCAGTAATATTTCTTTTTTAGGATTTATTTTAGCTTATTGTTCAGCTCTGAGTATAGATAAATAATTTAAATAAATTTTCAAATTCTAGCTTGGTAGCTCAGCAGGTTACTTTATTTCAATATAGTATTTCAACTATTAATTATTTAACAATTACATATTTTAATTGTTCAATTACATCTCATTGAAGAGTCAAATAATTAATCCTTTAGTACATCAATATGATTTTTTTTTAAATTTACATTTATTAAAACCTACCAAATTCGTACGTATATTCATTACTTTACATATATTCATTCGTTATTTATTGGCCACACTTATAAATATCATTGGAGGTGATAGTAACTATTTTTAAGTTAACCATTAACCTTAGTTAGAAAGGAATGCACTTGAAAACGGGGAAAGTAGAAAGATATATTTAAATCTAACCATAACGGCTTCTTTCATTTTTATTTAGATTTTGGAATTGATGATTTATTGTTACGTTAGGTTATTACATAAATTTATATTACATAGCATAATGTATTAGATTTATGATTTTATTTCGTTATGAATTAAATAATTTTTTTTAAAGAAATAAGGAATTCCTTAAAGTAAATATTTGTAGATACGGTTGAGAAAAACAATTAAAAAGGAACATATTCTGAATTGAACATGGTTTTGTTTAAATTATCAATTTATTGATATAGAGACTGTATTGATTTAGATGAATTTTGAATTTTTTTTTCCTCCATTGCCAAATAATACTCAATTAAAAAAAAAATAATAATAAAATATACTAATTCCATTAACATATCCTTCATTTTATACTTTACACTCTATTCCAAACGTTCAATTATTTTATTATTATTTTTGATAGACTGGCTAGTTAGTTACCATGAGCGCTAAGATTCAAGGCTATATTTTTCTCTCACGGTTGACTTTATTACTTTGCGAACAATTGTTATTGCTAATTATTCCTACGTATTTATAATTATCCGCACGGTATTCCTCTTCATCAGATGGAGACTGTCATATATAGAACGTTTTATATTATTTTATAAGTTAGTTTTAGTGTGAGTTTATGTGTGCGTGCGTATGCGCGTATATATATTTACACACACACACACCAAATATACTTATGATTAGAGCAGTAAAAACCTTCACAACATAAAAAAGGTCTAATAAAAAAAATCTTTACTTAACATCTTTTATTTAAATTGAGTAAAATAAAACACTTGAATACTGGTACTTACCATTAAGTACCCCACTAAGTAGTGGGTGAACTAGTCCAGCAACTGGATCCTCCTTTCGTGGTACTTTTTTTCAACCCATGACGGCTACCTTGTGATTGCCGTCGTGTACTTACCAGAGTGGGAATGTCAAGATCCATTTCTCAGGGTCGTC